CTATTTCCCTTGGTGCAGCTTGAGACTGTGTCCTCTGGTTCTGTCAGTGCTGCCTGGAGAAGGAGGCCAACCCCACCTGAGCACAGCCACCTTTCAGGGAGTTTTAGAGAGTGATAAGGGCATCCCTGTGTCTCCTTTTCTCCAGGCTGAGCACCCCCAGCTCCCTCAGCTGTTCTCCAAACACTTGTTCTTCACGTGATCCTCCCCTCCTGCACTTGTGTTTACTGCTGCTTTCAAATGAGATTGAAGTAGATCAAAATGTTCTTAGCTTTTATGGAAAAGGGGAAAAACACCCTAAAAGAGAATTAATTGTCAGTGGTCCCACAGGTGTGAGCTGACCCCTGTGGCTGGATTTTGTTTCTCTGACTCCGTGCTGGGGACCGGTGTCTGATCAGCTGAGGCAGCAGGGACATTACCAGATCAGGTTCAGCCACTGGATAAATGTGTCTGCAGCTGAAATAAACCCCACAATAGAGTTCTCTTTGGTGCCTGAGCCACAGCCCAGCCTTCCTGATGGATGTTAAGAAGCCTTGATAGTGTTTATAAGAAACATCAGCTTCCCTAATCGTTCATTGATCTGTTGTTCTGGGTGGAATGATGAAGCTTTCGCTGTTATTTTGCTCTGCTTCACTCAGATTCACTTGATTCGAACCAAAGGACGATTTAAGATGGCAGGGCACAATTTTACTCTCATTTACTCCCAGCTGACAGGATAATTCTGGTTTTGCTGTTGGGAGCTTCAAGTGCTTCATCTGTGCTCAGCTAGTATTAGTTGTAATTAAGGGAATGGGCTGTCTAGAGCTCATTTTTACAGTTCATCACCTGAAAAAGAATCTCCAAAAAGAACTCTTTTGCTTTTGGTGTCATTTTGAGTTTCTTCCTCACCCTCTCCAGGGCTGCCCATCTTGGGGAGGGCAGTACCTTCACTGGGTCTGTTCTTATCTCAGAGTACCTATTTTTAGGTTTAAAAACCAAAAAATTGGCTATGTTTTATGTAGAGTCTGTTAGGAGACTGGTTTATAGACTGCCAGGGCTGTTCCTGGGGTGCAGGACACTGCTAGACACAGGGACAGCAGACTGTGGAGTACAAGTGCTCATCTCCTGCCTGAAAATGGAGACAAAGCGCTTTTTTCCTGTTAAATATATCAGAAACCTGTGGTTTGATGTGTTTTTTAAACAGCTCATGAGGTATTAGATATTTGAAGTGCAGGCACACAGTTTGTGGTGATTGGGAGTGGGGCTGAGCCCTTGAAGTGTAGGCACACAGTTTGTGGTGATTGGGAGTGGGGCTGAACCTCATCCCCAATGGCACAGCTGTGCAGGACAGGTGAATGACATTGAAGGTAAGGAGCCATGGAGTGCCCAGGGGCACTGCCCAACCACCAAAGGGAGCAGAGGGCACACAGGGGCAGGGCATCAGCATGAGGGGATAAAAGGCTGGGCTGAAGAACAAGAAGGGCAGATGCTTGAAGCTTTCTGAAGTGCTGAGATGTTACTTGGTATGGGTTGAATCTTTCTGAAGTTGTGTGGTGCTACTCTGTGCATTGTGGCTGTCTCAGCTGTGCTAGTCAAGGATTAATACTTTTTTTCCCTGATGCTCCTTTTGTTTCTACTGGAAGCTTGTCCTTACCCAGGGGCTGATGCTTGATAGTCTCAGTTTCCTTTTTGTTTTTCCTGAAAGACAAACTCATGGGAAATATGTTTTTGCAAGTGCCTGCAAGCCCCAGCAGGAGAATCAAACTGGGAGATGGCACTCAGTGTTGTGAGCCACTCACCTTCTTGGGAACACAGATGGAAGCTGGAGTAAAGCAGCTCAAACAGAGCATTAGGATAGCTGAGTCCAGGATACCTGCCCAGGAAGGTGTCCAGCCTTGAGTTCAAGGGATGAGAGGTTCAAATCATGCCTGACCTTGGCACGAGGTGCAGGGGAGGAGATGTGGCATGAGGATTGGTGAGTCAGTATGGAAGCCAACAGGCATCTTTGCAGTGAAGCTGACAGTGAGCTCCAGGTGGGCAGGTATCTATTTTCGGTGACAGTCATGTTAAAACTTGCAGTGCCTGACCAAGTGACAGTGTTAGCCAGGAGCGGCCAAAACCTGGGATGCCTTCTGCCTTCCCAGTACATTTTTTTCAAGATAGACCAGTCAGAAAACATCCTGCAAACCAGAAATTAGTCAGAAACCATCCCGCAAAGCAGGTTACGGTTCTGCACTTTTCATTCCTATCTGATTTTAAACCCAGAATGAAACCCCATCTTAATATATCAGACTACTAGATTTGGTTGGTCAGGTGGTTGTTTCCTAGGAAATTAAAAACTCTTTTGGATTTATTTTCATAATTTTGTATTGCAAGCATGAACATGGTAGTGTCTCCAGGAAATAAATGCATGTTACAATATGGTGGAAGCCATGGGACTGCAAAGAACCTTCTGGTTTGTCAAAATACTTGCTATACTTTGTCGTTTCAGCTGGTTAAGCCAAACCAAGTGCATGGCTTCTAGAGACAGTACACAATTATCAGCAGCAGGACTTTGTAATTTTCTCTGGTGGGCTATTGTTTTGGGCTTTGTTTTTTTGGCTTTTTCTCCCCCCCAAGTTTGGAATGAAGATTTGCTTCTCTGTGTGTGTGTGTGGCATTTCAATCCTGTGCTGAATTGCAGCCCTTTCAGGTGGAATTGCTGTTTGGCAGTAAGACATACCCTAAAAATAGAAAATGTGGTTAAAAGTGACAACAATTGGCAGGGAGGACCTGTTCAGATGCAATTTTGGAACTGCTTTTAATTTTTTTCCACTCAATTCCAAGTTAAACATCCATTTAAATTAATTAGAGCAATCACAGTATCCCTAGAATATCAGTGGAGAAACTGAAGCCGTGAGTGTAATTTAAGTATTTCCTGAATTCTGAAGAGATGCTAAAAAAGGCAGCTTAAAGAAATTTTTGCATATGATGAAAAGCAAATTCCTGACCAAACTGGCTAAGCTCAAATATCTGAAGGCAAAGAGCTATCATGAAAGTGCTGTAAAGCTTCTGATTATAATGGAATCAGTGTCCCAGGGTATAATGCAGCTCTACATTTAAAACTTAGCTGCTGAACCCTACTTCTCAACCCACCTCCACTGAATGGGTTCTCATCAGAGTCCTGTCAGGACAGTGGGCTTTGTTTTGATGCCAAGCAAGTCTGGAAATGGCTTTTTCAGCAGCTTCAGCTGAGCACAAATGCTTGACTTCAGAAGGACAGCTAGTGGCTAGATTTTGTGGCCTAGAAATCATTCTTTATGTACACTGCCACACGTATTAATAACCTTGCAGGCTTTTATAAGCCTAATTAAAAGGCTCGCACGCACTTAAATGTGAAATCATGGCAAAGCGCTGAAGCAGCAAAGCAAGATCCTGTCCTTGGTGCTGCAAATCCATTGCTGCCTTTCTTTATTAATGATACATACATGACAGGTTGAATTCTCTGCCTGCTGTTGCTTGTCAGGCTGTTTTCATTACAGTATCGACTGGAGTCCCCCTCACTTTGGTTGTAGTCTGGGCACGTTACCCCGAGCAGAATTTTTCTTTCAGTGTTTTGTTGAAGGTATTGACTTTGCCACAGGGAAGGGAGAAGTGCGTGCAGCCACTTAAGCACACAAGTAGTGGTATCAATTTCCATCCATTAAAATATGCACACGCACACAAACACACGACTCTGTACTGTGGCTGCAGGCACGGGGTGAGGTGGGCTTTGAAAAACAGACTCAAGAGACCCTCTCCAACATGGAGGTTCTGTTTCCAGGATCTGGCTAGGAGCATCCTTCAGCCTGTGCCAAGTCCTGCTGAGGATGGTGGGGTCATTGTGAGTGTTGAAATGATATTTTTCAAAGGCGTTTTTGTATTTCTAGGCCATTTCTTTCAATTCCTTAGAATGAACTTTATTTTCTAAGGGAGTATATTTCTCTGGGTTTGGGTGTTCTGTATTTTTTTTTTCTTAACATCTTAGTTCTGTTAATCTTTTGGTCTTTGAAAAAGTTTTTCTAGTTATTGGTTTTTGGGGTTTTTTTTCCCTTTCCAGCGCAGGCAATCAATTAGTGAATATGAACAGGAGGGTTATTGAGCAGTTCATCCAGAGCCAGCAAAGATTTCAGCCAGCTCAAAGGTGCAGCAATCATTTTGCTAAAGGTTTGGATTGCAGTTTTGATCCAAGACTGTGATATACGGCTGTGGATGGTTCCAGCACTGCCAGAAGAAACTTGGGGATGAATCTTAGCAAATGTTCAGTGATCAGTTCCATCTGAAAGTGCACAAAATGTGTGTCAGTGCAGATGTGTGTTATCTTTGTTTTGTCTTGCAAACCATCCCCCCTGTCTCCCATCTGTTCCTGTTTGATGGTGAGCTCTTCCAGAGGTGTTTTCCATGTTATGTCCCATCAGTCCCACCCTGAAATACACTGTACAGCACAGAGTTATTTGCAGACAGACAATCTCATCGGAACTGTGGCATTGCCCCAGTGGATTCTGTTCATGTACTGCAGAGGCCTTTGACCTGTTCTCTGCTCTGAGTTGTGCAAAGTCATCCTTTTGTGAATCCTTAACACCTTATAGTGAGTTTCTCTTCAAGTTTCAATAAACTGGTAAAAATGGCTACCTCTTTATTTCTACCTTCTAACAACTATTTCCAGTAAACTCACGAAAATTAAAACAGGAATGTGCTTGAAATCATCAGTGAGTTTCTGTTCAAGTTTCAATAAACTGATAAAAATGGCTACCTCTTTATTTTCTACCTTCTAACAACTATTTCCAGCAAACTCACTAAAATTAAAACAGGAATGTGCTTGAAATCATTAAGTTGAAACAGAATTTGTTTTCCAAATTTGGAAAACAAATTTGGTTTCCAAAGGTGGTTTGGTTTATTTTTTCATGGGTATCAGTACCTTGTCCTAAAGCATCCATTGTCTGGGAAATTCAGGACAATTAAAGATGGGCCATGTCTGATGTGTGTGTTTCATTTCTGCCTTTCAGTCTATCCGAGAAGTCACGGGCTATGTGTTGGTGGCTTTGAACCAGTTTGAGTACCTGCCCCTGGAGAACCTGCGCATCGTTCGTGGCACCAAGCTCTACGAGGAGCGATACGCTCTGGCCATTTTCCTTAACTACAGGAAGGATGGCAACTTCGGACTCAGGGAACTTGGCTTGAGGAACCTGACAGGTGAGTGAAACTTGGAAATGGGGTGGATTAGTTGCAAGGAAAAAAAATGAGCCTGTTAAGTATTTCCTCAGTGCCATCAGTCACTTGCATTCTGCAGGAGACTGAGGTATCACAGGAGCCTGGCAGTTGTGTGTTCATCCTTTTTTTGGGGTCACATAAGTACTTCTCTCCATAATGATCAATGAGAGTCATGGCAACAGTGCATTTGAAACAAAAACAGTCTTTGAGAGAGTATGTGAACTTTTTCTCTGTGTTGATAACATGACTATGTTGGTGATCCTTGATTATTGCACACAAGTTCCTTCAGCTGCTGGGTATTGTCTACCAGGTTACCTTAGCTTATAGCATCCCCTGTGCCTCTGTATCTTTGGTTTATTTAATTTTAGAACTCCCTTTTCTGAGCAAAAATAGAGAAAAGTGCTTTCTTTTTTTTTTTTTTTTGAGACAAAAATGTAAGCCAAGTCCACAGCTTCATATTTACCTGTCAAGTTAGGGCTGGATCATGCTGTGGGGTAGATCAACATTCATTTCCTCCATCTGAGGATCCAGAGTCACTGGTTTGGGAGATTAAAACTTACTAAATATCAATGGACTGTAACTTAATAAAGAGCAGGCAGTGGCTCTTCTTAGGGAATTTGCTGGAAGTATTTTATTTATACCTGGTTCTTCATCAACTATGATAATGTCTACCCTAAACTTTGGTAATTTTGATGTGGCCTTGTGCTGAAAGCTGACTCAGAATCACTGACCTGAGCTGGCTGTGGAGATTGAGCCTCAGTATGGAGAGGTGGAAGCCTTCTGAGCTATATTTAGGCACCCTTCCCTCTCTGTTTCTTTTGTCTGTCAGTATCCAGAGTAGCACAAGTGCTTACAGTTCCCTGCTCAGCCTCACCAGGCTGTACAGCAAGGCTTTTAAAAGCAGGAGGCAAAAGAAGGCCTGAAATATTTTACAAAATAAACCAATTTTGGATGACTCTGATTAGGCTCTTTCCTCTGGTCATATTTTTGACAATTTTCTTTACTGAGACCATCATGCCAATATCAGAGTGCTTCCCAAATGTCTCTAAGTCCCTGCCATCTACTGCTCTTCACTCTGTCACTGTCGTAATCTAATTTCTTCCTCTTCTGTTCCCATATTTCCTCCCACCTTTCTGATAGAGGGAGTTCATTGTGACTGTCTATGCCTTCACATCATACAGAGCCACAGCACTGGGTGATAACAGCATTATCTCTTTCTTTGTATATGTTTTTTGGTCGTTGAGTCCCCAGATGCCTTGTAAAGACACTGGGCTGGGTAAAACTGAGAGAGGTGAGGTGAGGCCAAGGCTAGAAAATGATGGAAGTCTTTCCTCTTGGGTCTGAGGTGGTTCCGCCAGGTGAGTTTTACTCCTAGGGCTCATTTAGCCATGGCTTTGCTTCTCAGTAGGGTAAAAAAACTTATCTTGTAGGCTTCTGCTCTGATTTTGGTCTTGAACCAGCTTCCCTGTGCTATTTGGCAGTTCCTCAGACTCTAGAGATGCCCTCTGGGAGCTGTTGTGACGTGTGACAGACACAGCACCAAAACTGCCCTGCAAGTGGTTTCATTTTCTTTTGAGGTGTCTTAAGAAAACTGGCCTTAGCTCAGCCTGTGAATCTCTCCCAACATGAGATTATCACAGCCACTTCTTCTGATTTAGGTGTTTACAAAGGCCTCTGATGGGATTATTTGACTCAAAATGAATTGTTGTCTTCTGGAAGAAAAGTACCCTAATAACACCAGTTTGTCTCCATGGAGCACTTAAAATAGCTTCTGGGTGCTGAACGTGAGCCAGTGTGTGCTTGAAAATACTCTTAATGTTTTCTAGGCACCATGGCAGGGCCTCCTGAGCCTCTCCAGCACCTGTTCTCTCCATTTTGTGCACTGGTGAAGATGCAGCGGGCTATTTTAACCCACAACCCGCCTCTTGTTGCGCATGCTCTTCCCAGAGCATGCTCACCCTTCATTAATTTTCCTGACACATCCTTAGCACTAGTAGCTGCATAAATATAACTGGTGGATGTGGGAGTTGGTGGTGTTGCAAGGCAGTGATGGATCAGCAGTATCTGAGCCTATTCTTTAGTTTTACCCCAGAAACCACGAGTGAGCTGCTAAACTGAAGAGGAAGCAGCCCCCATGGGCTCACATCCTTCAAGTCCACTGCAGATTTGAAGAGACTGGCTTTGAATCGTGCATCTCTTCCACTTGAGTAAAATATTACATGGCTCTTGTCTTGCTTGTGAAGCATTGTCATTCCAGAGCTTATGCCTTGCTCACGAGAGTCTGGGAAATTCTGTTTTTATTCGTGCAGTGCTGGATGATAGGCTCCTGAGGGTATTTCTGCCTAGTGCTGTACAGTATACAAACACAAGCCCTACTCCCTGTGTTAAATAAATGAGGAAGCTGCTCTCACCTGCAGCTTCTCCTCAGACATGGAGTTTCAGCCTCCTGTGCTGTACCACTGCAATATTTTCTATGTGTTGTTAACAGCTGTTTTTTTTAATTGCCAGATATGTCTATCAAGTTTTCATATTTAAATGTAACTTTAAATGCTTGAATTTCCTCCCTTGCACTATAAAAAAATGACAGCCGTGAAGGCAGTTAGTTTTATCTCACACAGAAAACATGATCCAATTCTCACTCATGATGTCTGTCAAACCACAAGGGAGTTTTGTTTGTATAGCTCAGCCCAGGACTATGTCCTAAAATGCATGTGACACTTGCAAAAAATCTTAGCTATAAAAATCCTGTTCTCACTTGTTACAAAAACTTAGTGAATGGTTCCACAAATGTGTCAAAACTGAACTGACACTGAACTAATGAAGTGGCTGCTGCCATCTCAGCTGGACTCATCTCAGTGTGCAGCTTCAGCTGCCAAATAGCCTCACAATGAAAAGGAGGGTTTGACATCCTGGCTGTGATCTTCAGCCTGAGCAGAGTAGGTGGTGCTGAGGGAGAAGGTGTGCCAGCTTCTTCCAGCCCTTGCCCAGGAGCCACTGCAGGCCACCGGGCACTCAGCCTCAGCTTACCCAGGGAAAGGGCACCATTGGTGCTCATGTTTGGAGCACTCCAGACAGAGGGAACCTGGTGGCTGCATCTCATTACTGCCTGAGAGGGGAAAGAGGGATAACTCACAAGTGCCAGAACCATTTAGGAAGTGTCTTGGTTTGAAAAGACAGGTGTCTGCTAAGGAAGGCAGGAACTTCCCCTGAAATAGAGAATGTAAATCCCCTCCCTGTGAATTATGATTTTGAAATTAAGGGGCTCTCAGGCAAAGATATGGGAATAGGAATAACAGTTCTTTATTAGGGAAGAAAATAAAAATGAAATAAACAATGCAGTGATACAAAACAACACTGACAGAGTCAGAATAGGCCCTGACCCCTGTGCTTCAGGGTGCTGGCAGCAGTCCCATTCCATGGTGGCTCAGCCCTCCTGCAGTGCCAGCTGTGGTTCTACTGGAGCAGGGATCCTGCACGAGGGTGGAGTTTTCCTCTGAAGGTCCAGGGGTGCTGCAGATGGGCCTGGTTTTCCTTTGGGAATGCAGTGGAGTAGAAAGCTGCTCCTGTGGGAATGCAGTGGGAAAGGCTGCTGTGGTGTTCCCAGTGTCAGATTGTATCCAGGTAGGAATGCTTGGCTCCTTCCCTGGGCAGAGCATCTCCCAGTGGGATGATGGAATTTTATCAGCCATGCAGGACACTCAGTGGCCATGAACAGAAGAGATCTCCTGCAGGGAGGATTGGTTGTGGAAGAGATAAAGAAAACTGCCCCATGAACAAAAGAGAACTGCTCCACCTGTAACAGATGTGTTTACACCTGTGTAAATACAATACACAGCCTAAAACCTTATCTTACAATCTAGGACAAAAGTATCCCATATTTTCCTATGTGAAGATGAATAAGAGAGCTCTACAGCAAGTTATGTGTCTTTGAGCAGTGACAGCCTCATCTTCCCTACTGGCCTTGGGGACAGACAGTTCTGTGCATCCCTTGAATTTTTTTGATATAATAGAATGAGGTGGATTTAGCAGTGATAAGTGCAGTAACACAAAAAAGAAACAAATCCACAGCAAAAGATTTAGGGGTTTTCATTCTTTGTTTTTCAGGAATGCAGATAAATTGAATGATAAGATAACTGAGGTTCACGTGAAAAATAGATACTGCAGGTTAAATGATTTGATGAGTGATAGCCAAATTTCCCCTTCAACAAAAGTTTGCAATTGATCTTCTACCTTTTAATTTTTGATTAAATTTGGTTTTTATTTTTCTGCAGAGCAAAATTTTAATGTTTGATGGTTATAGTATTCCTCACCCCCTGACTCACAGGAAATTTGTAATCTTTTGTAAATCTTGCTTGGATGTCTCCGCAGGACCTGAGTGACATCAGGCAGGGATGGCACATTTTTGTGGCAGGGATGAAGGCCACCCCCTTTTTCTTGCGTTGATCACAAAGCCCTTTCCCCAGAGGACATGCAGGAGCCAGTCCTGGTGTCTAGGGGTGTCTCTGTGTGACACCCACCGGCTGCTTGTGGCACATTCCCGCATTCCTTAATCGGGATGAGCCGGGAAGAAAGCAATGAGTAACTTGCCTCAGGCTGGCTGTGCAACAGGTGGGTGAGGCATCGCATCTGTAACCTCGGAGAGGGGTTGCTAGGATACATGGAGGCGTGAGGAATTGGTTTAAAAATCCCTGTGGTCCCTTTGCGTGCGGGGCTGCCGCAGGAGTTCTCTGTAGGGGAAGCTGCAGCGGCTCTGTGGCTGCCAGGCGTGCTCCTCTCCTGGATCCTTGCAGCTGCCCTGCCCACCGAGGCATTTGTATCCCAGCACAGCTTTGTGGCTGGCCAGTGGGGAGGCGAAGAGGGAGGAACACCTCCTTTCCTAAGGGAAGTGTGGCTGTGGAGGATTCTCTGTGTGCTCCTGATGGCCCAGGTTTTAGCTTTTATATTTTTCAGATGCTGTGCTGCTTTAGTGTGTTGGTCTGAGA